ACAAAATTGTCGTTGTAATGGTAACCAAAGCCCATTGAATCAAACAAAAAAAAATTCGCCACAGAAAATACAAAATAAAATAAGTAAAACCAGACATAAACACACCAATACACTACCCATTAAATCAAATTAAAAAAAATGAATTGCTGAAAATGTAAATAATTTTTTTATTGGTCATAATTTTTGCCGAAAATGTTTGATCGTTGGTGTTTGGAGCAGAATTGGACATCGTCCATGCCTCGCTGAGGTTGAACTAACAAAAAGACTAACTAACTTTTCTTTTAGAAACAGACTTGTTCCCAGTCATAATAAAGTAAAATCCAGGGTTCCACTCAGCGCTGCCATCCAGAGCATAAAAATATATGCTTTCTGAGAATGGAATATTTATATGCTCTGGATGGCAGCAGCGCTGAGCGAAACTCTGGTAAAATTGGTGATAGAAGATCTAAAGACTGTAAATGGCCAACAGTTATTAAAAATGATAAAAGATTTTCCGACACCAGACCCCCTTAATTTACTCGATGAAGGTATAACGAAAAACAATTTGACTCAAGCAAGAAAAAAAACGGTTGGTGCAGGGGAACCGCCAAAGACCTTGCCTAACATAAATATTATATCATGAAAACCAGCTGGTGAACCAAGACTGGCCGCGATGGATGGGAGATTTTGAAGTGCTGATACATCGAAACAATGAGCTATCAAACGAGCAAAAATCGAAGTGATTGTTAGAGTCATTGGAAAGTGTAGCAAAGGAAGCCTTGCGCGGGTGGCAAACGCGCCCATACCGCGGAGTTTATGAGCAGTTGGAAAAAATGCAAAAATATATCCAGTTCTAGGTACCTGAGCAGTACCGAAATCATGGATCCAAAGGCTTAACAAATAGCGCGACAACTCGACATCACCGGACGAACATAAACTGCAATATTGTTTGCCTAATGATAGATTGCCCACGGTTCATCACAATGCACAGTGGCAGAATTGAAATTTAAGATTGTTTAAAATGTAAAAGAAAATTTATTGCAACACACAAATTAAATTGTAGCGAAAATAATTAAGTAAATGATTAGAGTAGCGCAATAGATTTATAGGGATTGTTCATACAATTAAGCATTATTACATAATATTAAGCAACAGTAAAAAACTGTTGAACTCTGCCGAGCCATCACAAACAATTCTGTTGTACGCTCCATTCTGGGAGGCGGTCAAACCGAAAGAGGTCATCGCAAAAAATATCTTTGAAACGAACACAACGAAACAGGATACTCAGATATTAGCCATGCGAAAAACCCAAACAGAAATTATAATAACAGGACAAATAACTACAGACAGCAAAGACAGAATAATTTTCAAAGACAAAATTCCAACAGCGGAAACCCAAACCGCAATTGGAATTCCAATCAAAACCGTAACAATGGTAATAGAAATGGCCGAGGCCGAGGCCGAGGCCGTGGCAACCAGCGTGGCCATCGAAATTTCCATATAGTGGAAAACGTCGGGGCAGCCCAGCGCACCCTGGGCGACGCCGATGACAACTAACGAAATCAATTCCGAATTTATCATTATCCACACAACCATAGCGAAAAACAATGTTTTTTCCTTATCGATACACAAGCGGATATTTCAGTCATCAAGATCGAATGTTTGACAGACTTATCCAAGATCGATGCAAGCGAAATCATTGACATAAAGGGTTTGACAGATGGCATCACAAAATCCCTGGGTACCATTTACAGTGTAAGCGCACGTAATGACGTTAAGCGCATGTTAAACGCACGTCAACACGGCCGTATAGAACGGAACCGAACTTAATTCATATCTAATAAAGCACATGCATGTTATAATTATATCGCCCATACACCTGTGTAGTCTTTCATTCAATTACTGATACACATTATACCATTATAACAGACTGAGTAATACTCAGTGAGTATCTTAACCATGATAACGAA